GGAGGAGGAAAAAGCGTCTGGCCCGGAACCAATTTGGCGTTTGGACAGGCCAAAGAGTCTCTTTTCCGAGACCATTTTTGCTAGCCTCAAGCGGGCAGTCTTACAGTCGTCAGTCTTACTCTGCACGTGCGTAGACTGCCGCGACGCAGCTTCGGCACAATTGACACCAAAGAGGAATCGTGGCATCGACGGGCCCGTCTAAGACGAGGCCGCGCGAGATTGCTCCTTGAGAGCCATCCACAGCAAACAGCTGCTACGACATCACCACAGCGCAATGTTCGGAGGTAGCAAGACCTCCAGGGCCGCTGGGCCAGGCGTGCAGTGGGATTGTGGGCAGCGCGGCAGGTACGTCAAAGGTCATCACTGGAGGTGCCTGTGCGGACAATCGTTCGGCAAAAACGAGCAAGAGAACCCTCGGCAGAGTGCGCACTGGGGCACAGACGCCAGCGGTCAGGTTCGGCGCCGCCCCGCTCCCGACCGCGCGCCCAGCAGGCCGAGGAACGACCCGAAGAACAAAGAGAAGGATATGACCAAGCAGCACAACATCAGAATCATTGTCGCCACGCGGGCTGACGCCGAGATGCACCCCACGCTGTCGCATGAGCATACCCACTCGTCGAACATTCCAGACGTCAAGGCGTACAAGGAGAGGATTCGCAACCGACTGCATGGATTGGGTAAGTCAGCCTTGGCAACGAGGGGTTCCATGCAAGTGCACCAGTGAGACGGACTTCGAGATCGCTGTTCTCAAGTAGCTGTTAGCCAATACTGAGTCGAAGAAGAAGCAGTTGAGCGAGCTCAAACTTAAGAAGTATACGATTCAAGAGAGGGCGGGAAATCTGCACGATAATATTTGGATCATGCAAGAGGAGCTTGTGCAAATTGGTCGAGAGTTGGAACAGGTTCGCCAGGCCATAGTCGAGCTCGAGAATGAAGACACCGATGACGACATGGGCGTGACTCGCGACAACGGGGGCATGGGTGGTGGAGCTGGCGGCAGTGCTGTCGCTGGTTCAGGTGGCGGGCCATGTGGGGGATCCACCGCGCGCGCCATCCACGCCCCCAGAAGCGACGACCGCAAGCATCCAGCAGGTGCTTATCCCACGGCAGAGCCTCACATAATGCCAGTCAACACCGAGGAGACCAGGTTCACCGCTGAGCGAGAGAGGACATCCACGTTTCTCGGCGCGAGGGAGGCTGGCGCGGCAGCGGTTGCCGCGGCCGCCCCCCCCCAGGCCCAGTTCAGCCAGGGTTTCGGCCACCCCGCCCGCCGCGGGGAGAAGTGCCTGCCGACCAGCTCGGCAGCCCCATGCAGCTCCTGCATGGCATGATGAACAAACAGCAGGAGACCGACAATGTGATCAACAACCTGGGACAGTATGTCATGGTCCTGGCTAATTCAGTTACAGCATGGCGGCTACGACGGGCAATTGTGGGATCAACCGAGGCACGGCAACCACAGCGAGTGCAAGTGCGAGTGCGAACCGCGGTCTATCATTCACGATCGGATCTGGCGGCATGGGAAGCGCGGGAGTTGTTCCAACAGGGCGCTCAGGGGAGGGGGCGCCCAGTGGTTCAGGGCCCCCCCTCTCGGCCATGCTCGAGACGCCCCCAGCCAAGGCGCGCGGCTCGCTGCCATCAACAGTGCCGCCTGGGCAGGCCAGCCCGATCTTCCAGCATCCGACGCCTGCGGCTCCAACGCCAGTTGCACCCGCGCCGGTTGCAGCGACAGCAGGAGCTCCGGCTACTCCGACTGGACCTCCAGCAGCCAAGAGTCCGACAGTTGTCATCGTAGACGACAGCGGGGCCACTCAGGTACCATACGCAGAGGCACTCTTGCCAACCCAGCCCATGCTGGAGCCACCCGAAGATCTTTACGCAGAGGTCCCCAAGGAGTCAGCGACGGGCTCGGCCGCGAGCTCGGCCTCCGGCGCGGCGAGCGCTCCAGTCTCCGAGAGCCCCCCGACAGCCTCCGAGAGTCTCCGAGAGTCAGGCGAGGGCCAGGGCCGAGGAGATCAACAAGGCATGCGCGGACAAGGACGCAGATGCAGCAAGCCCCCCTCGCAAAGAGCCGAGGGTGGGCGAGCGGCGCGATGTCCAAGAGTGAATTGGGGCAGTCAGCAGCTTATCTTGTTTTACAGCGTGATGAAACGCGATCGCCCCCTCAACCTCCAGGCATCTCTCCCCGTCGAGGTCCTCCAAGTCCATCCTCAAAACCTCCCGTGCAGTTCAAACGGCTGACCAGGCACTGTCTCTTCGCCAGTTGCTGGCGAGCAACATTCTTGATGCCCCCACAGAGGGAGACCGCAGCTTCCATGCTCAGGAAGGGGCTGTTGCCGCCCCGCCGGCCAACCGCGCAGGCGCCAACCTTCCAGACAGCCCGAGCTCGACGAAACTGAGATTCCCCAGGATACCCTTTCAGCTTCAGGAGTTTCCACGGTTTGATCAGAAATCGCCAGGGCTCGTTTTTCTTATTATATATATATATATAAAAAAAACGACTTGTCTCTTGGGTGCAGTTGCTCGGGGCCAGTGGCAGCTCACATGTTGTTTGCGCTCGCATTGTCGCGGCGTGTCGCCCTCCCCCACTGGCCAGCTGATGATCTCGAGGGTTATGGGATTTCATAGCTACTGGGAGGGGATGGTATCTAGCGGCAAAGATGCTGATAGCTCTGCATCTCATCTGCGCTTTTCGGCCGCCGTCGCGGCCTCTTCCTTGCGACGAGGGGAAGTCTGTGACTCGCTGCTCCTGACCGCTCCTCCCGGCGCGCTTGGGGGCCCACGGGCCGCGGCCCTCTGCCTCCGCTGAGCGTTGTCTTCGCAACGACAGCTCAGGAGAGAATGCCGGGAGCAGCGACGATATGATGATAAGTCTGCCCGTCGAGCTCTCTGGCGTCAGCGCGCCGCGGGAGCGGCGCGATCTACATGCGCGTCGCTTCGAGATGCGGTTTCTCTGTGAGTGTCGAGAAACAGTGCGGGACATCGCGCGTGCGAGTCTGTTAAAGTCGGACCAGACTTTGGCATGGCAGTCTCTTTTCGGGTTGCAGGCCTCGGTGGCATTTCCCAAGGTTCTGCCATCGAGAATCAGTTACTGCTACGCGGATAGTTACAGTATGATGCGATTGTGCTGCATACCCCCCTTTGTTTATCGACCCCGTGTGGGGGATATGTTCCCTTGCTTCCCTCTAACAAGCCCCCCCCCCCCCTTCTCAGCGCGTCAGCGGGGGCGACGCACGTGGATCCTATAGTCCAACCCCCTTCCTGCCTTGCTGCTGGCCGCGATAGCCTTCCAGCACCAGTGCATGCCCCCTCGTCTCCGATCAGAGGTCGCGCGGATTCACTACCGGACATCTTGACTACTGTTGTGGAGCACGGTGTCTTTGAATCGAAATATGATCTCAGCGATTTGCAGATACCTGCCCACGTTCATCTTGCCCTCCAATCATGCCCACGTCGTGAATCCACATGGCTGACTAAACGCTACGACGCCGACGCTTCTGTCAATGGCCAGAGACTCCCCACTGCGACCTGGGGGCTAGTGCAGATTGCCGAAGACCATCACGGCGTCTCTTGGCCAGGCCATGTGTCAGGGTGGGTTGGCAATACCTGCAGGATTGAGCTACGGCATGAGAACGCTACCGGCGCCGAGTACGCAGGCGCGTTGCGGGCCTTACTGGCCACCATCTCCGACTCCAGCGTCAGGGGCGTCAGCATTCACGCGGACTCGCTGAACGTTGTCACCGCCATCAACGGACTACGACCCACCGACCTTGGTCCTCTGGCTCTAATCACTTGTGTCGTCTGGAAGGTGGCAACCAGGGGAAGAAGACTGGGGCTATTGCATGTCAAAGGCCACGGTGCTCATCCCTGGAGTGAGTTTGCTTATCGCGTGGCCGTTTGGACCGGTGACGAGAATCTTGCCCGCGCTGTTTTTCCAGATGAGTTGGTTGCCGTCACCTAGTATTCCAGATGCAGAGAGTGGGATTGGCTTCAGGGAGCCCCTTCAGAAACGTTGGCTGCTTACCCTGTTTGAGACAATGGTCTGTTTGGCAGAGCTTTCAACCGGAAGCCTCGCCCGCCCACATTCAGGGCCCTCTTTCCGCTGTTGTGGCCACTCAGGCTTCCAAGTCTTCTATTGCCCTCAGGGCTGTTCAATAGAATGTAAAGTCTATAACCCAGAGGGGCACCCACGGGGCCCTTGGCAAGCAACGGATGCTCAGGTCGGAACTAGCACGATGCCACATGCAAGAGATCGGCGCGCATATGGTCGGTCTGCAAGAGACCAGGAGCCCCGAGGGCGAGCGTCCATGTAAAGGGTTTTACGTTTTATTGTCAGGGTGCGACCTCTCCGCCGAGGAAGGAGGGCTAGGGGTCGAGCTCTGGGCCAATCTGCAAGTGCCATATCGCGGAAAAAGGGGCTCAGGACCACATGTTTCATCAGCGTCATTTCAGGATTATGTGTGATCCTCCCATGGTTTTGCACGTTGCGATTCGGGCTCCAGGACTGGCTCTGAACGTTTGAGTTGCCCGCGCCCCCCGCGCCCGTCTGCCCGAGCTTGTGATTCAGAAGTTCTGGGACGAACTATGAGCCTTGTTTGAGCGCCCCCCCCCCCCGACTTGCTGCTCACCGACGCCCTCGCGCGGGTTGCGTCGCTAGTCTCAGAGCTAGTCGCCCCCGAGGGCTTTTCGCAAGAACAGGATTGGACCGGAGAGGTATTTCACAAGCTGTGCACTGACTCACAGCTAGCCGTCATGAGTACCACGATCATAAATTCTAATGGCTTCAGGGTTCAGGGAACTGATGGGGATCGGCATGGGGTTGATTATGCGCGCGTTGATCAAGATTTTGAAACAACAACAAACAACGGGC